GGTCGCGGGTCCATCGCGTCACATCAGACATGACAGCTCATTGTAATGTACGGACCGTGTCCCAGCGCCCCCGGTCACCTATAATCACCCTAATCTAGCTCTAATTCCAACAATCCCCACCCAGCACCTGGCCTCAAAGTACTACGTCTTCAAGAGGCCGTATCTTCCTCCATACTCCTCAGAACTGAGTGCTGAACGAAGCGTTGGAACCAGGAAATCATAAGTAAACCGTAGATAAGGATGACTCAGCGGGATTACGTAATATAACTGCAGAAAACACCATTAACTGTCTGCCCCCAAGTAGCTCCACAACACTCCTGGTAAAGTACTGGTGAAGTGATATACTGTAAAGGCGGTGCGCATTATAGATCCCCAACGTCCGGTTGGGCGATCGACTTCGGCGGAGTGTCTTCACCGCGAATTGGCGCGGCGAGGGCGATTGGAGCATCTCCGAGCGAGATGCTTGGGTGGCCGCCGAGCAGGACGGCCCGGACAACCCGCCCGCGCCGTTCGCGTGGGCCGGAGAGGGGTGCGTGGGCGGCCTCGCCGAGGGAGACGGGGGGCTGCCGGTGGGGATGGTGGAGCGCGCCACCCGGGCGTACTGGAGGGTGGTCGCCGCGTCGCGTTGGAAAAGTTACGTAATGACTGAGTGGGAGGTGGAGCTGCCAGGCCCGAAAGGAAGCTGGATGATGCAGGGGGTACAGTTGAGGGCCTGTATGTCATACATGGGGGAGAATGAGGTGGAATGGGTTAGGCAGCCGGGAGACACTACCCACTACGGAACTGTGGGGTGTGATGGATGTACTTGGGATGAAAAGTGCATTAGGTGTATTTTTTGTTTGGATAGGGGGATTCCCCCTAATTTGATTTTTCAGGAACCTACAGCAATTAGTTCCTTGCAGCGTGAGTGGGAAGAAGATGTACAACAATACATCTTCATGGGGGTGCTGCCAAGGGGCACTGACGGGTGTTGAATAATATTGTAGTGGTCAAAAGTGGCTTTTTCTGGTTGTATTGTGTGACCCTTTGGAAAGGGTCAACTTGGTGAAGGTCCATGGGAAGTTATGAGAAGTACAAGGGGTACTGGGGCCTTTTTCTTGAAGTGTCTGTTAGGGTATCCGAGGGTCACTGAAGTGTAGTGCCTTTGGAGCTGGCGGGGGTATTTAGGAGGGAATGTTTGGAGTGTGGGTGCCCCCTCTCCCCTCTCTCTCCGCCCCCCACCCGTCCGTTCTTGGTTCTAGCGGTCTGAACGGCGGGTGTCCGGTTGCGAACAGTCGTGTTGTGAATGTGTGGAGGTTGAACGTGGTCGAAAGGGAGAGGTTTTGTAACGAGCACTTTCGTTTTCGTGTGCCTTTGCCTCCTGACCCTCCGGGTCAATTGTCCTTGGGGTTGTGCACCGCTGCACATACCCCCAGCTCGACGCCGAGCTCGATTCCCGTTTCGTTGACCGACTGACCCGTACGCGCCCATGTTGGGCGCTGACTTGTCGACTCAACGACTCGTCTTCATCGTCCGCTGCTTGGCGAGTGAGTGGAGCGCAGCGCTGGACCGCAGGGAACGAGCATCGACGACATCGGTTTGCGACATCTGGAGAATGGTCAGTACGCTCGTCATACTGAGCTACTGAGCAAGGTGTGGAGCGTCGTTTCGCAGTTTGAGCGTGTATTTGCATGCCTCTCGTCGAGTTGATCAGCAGTTGCACGTTTCTCGTTGTATGTGAGCAGTTAAGGTGAACTTGAACACGAAGTTCAGCTTTGGGGTTGCGCCTCGCTTCGGCAGCGCTCGACAACACCCCAAGTGTCCTGTTGGGCTTGAACTTACTTGTTGTGGTGATTCTCGTTGTCCTGTGAGTGTTTATGAGCTAAGGTGGCAAAAGTGCAGGAGTGGAATGTTCAGAAATTCTGGGCGATTTACAGGGCTGTGATAGTGGCTGTGTTCTTAGTGACTATCCTTGAGCGTATACGGCTGGACGTTGAGTCATATTGCTGTTCCTAAGTGTAGACTCCCTCCTGGCGGTGCTTGTCAGCTGTTTGTAACATCATGGCACTCGAACAGAATGCTCCCAGAATCTGCTGCTATACCATAAAGCGGCTTACAGGCTTTTAAGTTATAGTCTGTAACAGACTGCACCACACAGGGCCCAATTCAACAGCCTCCCGTGTCCGTAGCCAGCGTCCAGCTAGAATGACACAATCTTGCAAGCGGGTGTGCCTACAATGGACGTCATCAGGGTCTCCATGGAATCGCCAGTAAGCTGCATGGCTCAGTAGTGGCAAGAAAATGTTGGTTAGTCACTACCAAAGCGTGCAGGCGTGTGACAATCCATCATGATTCATGATACGTGTGTGATTTTCAGGAAGTTTGCTGTTCAATGGTTCCCAGTGAGGAGGGTTGCACGAGTCCACCGATCGGGTTGCCCTCCGAGGGAGCATGTAGAAAAAGATGATGGCAAAACGTGGCCCAGAACAGAATGATGTTAATGCAAACATGACGACATAAACGTCGCAGCCAGCACGCCAGTGGTGGGGGTAGGACGGCTTGGCTGTCGTGCATTGGGGAGTCCAGGGCACCTATGGTAGGGACGCCCGCAGTCCCGCAGTCCAGAGACATCTGCAACAACCCCTGGTGGCCCGTGGCTGGCGTCCACCAATGCACCGCCAGTAGCAAGACCTAAAAATTGGCCAGAGAACACCGCATCGCTCCTTCGAATCCAGCGGACGGCGTTTGGCGTGCTCATTTCAAAAACCAAGGATTAGGTTTGGACTAGAAGACGCTTGAAGTTTGCGGGACAGCTGGACGGGACCGGCGGACATCCGCGCTGAGGTGAGCGTGCTCACGGAGCGGCAATGTGCAACTGCGGGACTGTGGGTGAAACTGGGCGGGCGAAGGCAACATCCTCAGCCATGAGTGCCTCGCTTTTTGGCGGGGGAAGCATCATGGACCGTTTGTTCTCCTTCTCGTGGTCGCCAGTTCAACTCACGCAGACTTTCTCTTGCCACCTCCATTCGGCGTTCACGAAATGTTGCCCTACCATCTTGAGAATCCTGACAACGGAGCTCTGCCAAGCTATCGCGCAAGACGAATCTTGCTGACGCAATCCTGTGAAATTCATGCAAGCTAGGTTTTGTGGGGCTCGTCTTTGTATCCAATGTTTACATCCTGCAGCAAAAATGTTCACATCTACAGTTTGTACAGCATTTTCTGCAGGTTGTGTGCTGTAAATTAGATCCTGCTTTCAGTTTACCAACTTTGTGCCTTGTCATCTGCTTGTTATTCGTTTGTACGGAACGGCACTGGGCAATGTGCACTGGCTGTCCAACAGGTTGTTGAATTCAGGCCAGGCCGCCTTTCTGCTGTAATAACGAAGTTACGTTGTGTCTGCTGCCTTTGCAGAATCGTGGCTGGGAAGAAAATCTGTGTCCCAAGCATTTTGGAATCGGCACAACAGCCAGAAAATGCGAAAGAATCCAAGTGGTGAAACAGTCGTTGGGGTGAGCTGTGCCCTTGTTTGTTGTTGAATCTCTCGTGCAGCGTTGTTCTTGCGTGTGCTAAGTTGAAGTGATTTCTTTATGATCCACATCCGATTAATTGCCATGGCCTCCTGCTATTGGGCCTCACCGCCCAGTGAGGTGCTAGTGCTGGTGAGATCTTTTGTTGTCAAGTAGAGATGCTTAACTATAGTCTGTCAAACACTTCCAAGTGCACTTCAGCTGGAACATTGAGCAAATACCTGCAAAATGGAAGTCTTACAAGCTTGGAAAGACATCAAAATTCTGTGTGCGAATGTGCATGCCTCCTTGAATGAAAGACATGTAAAAGCAAACGACTTTACAAGCATACAAGCACAGCCTGTTATTGTCAAGCCTTGGATACTTCCATCTGCCTGTGCAATTTCCACTTCCAAACAGCACTGGGCGGTATCCTGTAATTCTGCCAATCAGTCCCACCAGTCCATGCAATTATCCATTTCTAAACAGCACCGGCCAGTATCCTGTAATTCTGTCAATCAGTCCTGCCAGTCCATGCAATTATCCATTTCTAAACAACACCTGGTGGTATCCTGTTATTCTGTCAATCAGTCCCAAGATGGGCTCTGTGTTGAGCAGCAGTTTTCTGCGGATTGGCTGGACAGCCATCGAATATCTGTAGAGCTGCACCCAATTGCGATTATGTCAGCCACCGATGCTTTGCTTCCATCAGTGGAGCTTCATCAGCCTTCTGTAGGAGTTGATTGTTAATTGTGAAGATTGTGTTGTAGCACAAATGAGGAATGCGTCACCCAGTTCTCACTTCCATCCTGAACAAGAAGTTTGTGAGATTTTCATCATCCTGGGGAATTGATGGTGCACAAGTCTCTGAGTGTACCATGAGCAAACAGCACCACAGAGCTGCACATGTAGCAGTGGAATGTTCACCTGGGAGGGGAATATCAGGAGCGCGGTGGAAGCCCCAGTATTGTAGCAATGGGGGCTTCAAGAGCAGAGTGTGGATATATTGTTCGCAAATGGTGTACTTGTGCTGTTGTGGGCTGTTCCCTCACTGACAGGCACTCTTCTTATTTGAAAAGGCAGAACACCAGGCTGTGCCCCCAAAGTACAGCCAGCGGATGATGGAGTTCCTCAAGTCGCAAATGGACAAAGTGCAAGATCTAGAGAAACCGCCCGAGGCTTCGAAAGCAACTTTGGACACATTCAATCGTGCGCTGGCGTCAGGGGCAAGCCTGCTGAGCAAACACAATAAATTTGACCTAAAGAATTTCTACAGGATTGATGACACATGGGCAGCGGTGGAATTGATATGCCGCTCACTGGCGGAGGTCAGTCGAGAGTGGGGCAAAGATGCTGCTGTTGGGGAGAGGATCCCTGCAGAGTGTGTTGAGGAGGACAGGCAGCATCTCTACATGCGCCTGGCCTACATTTTCAAAGACAAGCTTGTTGATGTTCGGGATGAGAAGCTGCGACAGGAGTGGTATGCTGTCAGGCAACGACATGAGGATCAAATGAAGGGTCTGGTTGTCGTTGACAATGCAGAGATTGTATTGGGAGACAGAATTGGTGAAGGGGGTGAGGGGTCTGTGCATAAAGCTGTGTGGCAGGGAGAGCCAGTCGCTGTCAAATTGCTGTGCCCTCCCAACCGGGAGTTGGACATTGAGGATTTTGCGGACTTCTTCAAGGAGGTTTCAATACACGCTTCCCTGGACCATGCTCACATTGTCAAACTGCAGGGAGTAAGCAAATCGGGCTGGTTCGTGATGCAGCTCGCTAATATGGATTTGAAAAGCTTCTGCAAGAAAAACCTACGGTGGCCCTTGAAGCTGAGGCTGTTGCAGCAGGCAGCAGATGGACCCTGCTACATGCACAGCAAGAACTTGGTGCACTGTGACATCAAGAGCGCCAACTTTCTTGTTTTTGGAACAGATCCCGAAAATTGCACTGTCAAGATTGCTGACTTTGGGCTTACGATCGAAGCCAGGGGATCAAGAAGCAGAACTGTGAGGCGGCCAGGTGGAACACTTGAATGGTTGGCCCCTGAGGTGTACAATGGAGAGCGGCTCACTTTTGCCTCGGACGTCTTCAGTTTCGGGGTCGTCATGTATGAAATCATAACAGACAAGCATCCCTATGGGGCTGATAGGTTGGATTCACAAGTGGCTCCTGCAGCCTTGATGAACAGAAAGCTCAGTGGGGAGGAGCCTTGTACTGTTGAGCCTCACCACTGTCCTGAAGAAATGGCCGACCTCATGAAGCGCTGTTGTGCCCTCAACGCTGATCAGAGACCCACCATGGAGGAGGTTTGCAGCGTTCTGGCGGACCTGCCTTACACATGGCAGGTGAACATTGCCCTTGTGCAGTGTGCTTATTGCTGCCAGTTTGGGGGCACCTGAAGAATCTGCTAAAGGGTTTGCCAAGTTTTGCACAGTTTCAAAAGTGGAACATATTTGGGTACTGGCAATGTAGCTCACAAATGTGTTCCCTATGCCGCTTTCATTGCTTGCTGCTGCACCTATCTCAAGAATTGAGTGGGCTGCAAGAAAAATGATGCATTGTTCTTGGTTCTTTTGTTCCACAGCATGATCGCCTGCCTGCTGTTCCCACAGAGGTGAGCGGTCCAAAATTTTGATACTTCTGCTCTGAGCAGCACATGGCATGCCAGCAGCTGAACCTCCCATTTGAGTTCCAGCAAGCTTGGATTTGGACAAAATAGATTCATGACTGCTGTTCGAAGCTCATGTGGAAGAAATCTGGAACATCTGGAGTTCAGACCGCTTCTGTCATCGCCTACGGGGTGCAAGGGCTTGGTTTATCACGTTTTTTAAATACCTGCTGTCCATCGAATTTCATTTCAGAGGTGTAGAATGTACTTGCTGCTGTGACTAGTTGGAGACTTCGGTTGGATCGCGAGTCATCCGTGAGTGCTTGGAACAGGCACAACCTTTGAAACCTCGTTTCTCTTCTATTTTTCCTGTACTGCTGGTGAGGGAACTTGTGCTGACTGTTTGTTGGCTTGTGTGTTGCAAGTGCATATGTCTGAACTGATGCACTTGATCTCACGCTTGGTTTGATGTCCTAACTCACATTGCTGATCACGCACGTGTGGGTTGAAGCCCTATCAGGAGCGTTTTTGGCCAATTGCACGAATTTGAAGTTTTGTTTGAATTTTGGATTTTTATCCCAATTGCTAGAGAGTTGCTACATGCTGTTGCACTCAACAGCACCCTTGGCTCTTGCTCCATGCTTGCAGAGTACTGATCGGTTTTCTACTGATCGCTTATCAGTGTTTTCTGCTGTCTCGCCAGAGGGAAGCTGAAGAAATGTTGGTAGCTGTGCAGCAGGGGAACACCGATGGGGTTTTGACCTTGCTAAAGTCGAGGTTCAATCCGAATGTTGTGCTGAACAGGGTGGGTAGCAGATGAGATGCCTAGCAATTTTTGTTCCATGAAAGCAAACCTGGTAATTGCATAGAAGACCAAGTCATTTTGTGGTTTGAACGGTGGATGTGCACATGCTCACAATGGCTTTCCTGCTGCTTGGTTTCAGTGTGAGAGTTTGCCCTCTGCTTCATTCAGTATATTGATCATTGCCTTGCAAAATCAGCATAGAAACCTCCACAGGGCCCTGATGATGCAATACAATGCTCACAACAGAGTTTTGCTACTGTTTCATTGCATTGCAGCATGTCCACAGAACTACCTGACAATTATTGACATGTCCAGGGGCATTGCTGTCAGTTCTCCTATGTGGCCAAGCCAGGTCATTGGAACAAGGATTTTCCCTGAAGGGTTGCCTTCTGTTGAAGGAACAAAGCAAGGAGAAAGATATGAGCATGTGTTGTGAGGTGTTTCATCGCCATCATACATTGGACCACAATATTCTATGAGAAACCAGCTGGGCCCTCGAGCACCATGTTGCACTGTAGAAATCACCGTCAGCGCGAGTGCAGCCAGAGGCAGGTAGCATGTGTGTAAACAAGAAATGTCTGTTCCAGGGGACTTTCTGTGAATGTTGAGAATCCTTCCATATCATATGTACATTATGTGTGCAAGGCAACTAGCCTGGCTATATGAGCACATGCAACGTCTCTAATCCGCATTCGTTCTGTGGCTCATGCAGGATGGTTGGACACCCCTGATGTTTGCAGCGCACAATGGGCGCATGAGCATTGTTGAAGTGCTGCTGACGAGCGGTGTGAATGTCAATGCACGGAACAAGGTGAGCAGTGCCATGTATTCCCTGAAAACAAGGCCATCTGCGTGGTATGCAGCGCAGGAGGAAAGTGACAGAACTGCAAATGTCACCATGTCGCACAGGAAATCATGTGCAAAAGCACCTGGTTTGCACTTGCCCTTGCCTTTGTGAAATTGTCAACTACGCCATCCATATTCAGCTGTTGAGCATTTTGTGTATCATTTGGTGCTGATGTGGACAATATAGTCAATTGTGGCACATGGGTGTGCAACCAACTGGTGCCAGCCCTTCGGTTGTGGTCTGCGAGTTGTTGAGTTGCTTGGTGACTGTTGGCTGGATTGATGCACAGGAAAAATTCACTGCTCTGCATCTCGCGTGTATGACTGAACAAGACCAAGTCATTAGGCTGTTACTCAACAGCGGAGCCAAGGTGGATGTGCGGGCACAGGTGAAGTTCATAAAGTTTGCCTGAAACGAAGCAAGTCATACCCTCTTTCACAGGAAGAATTTGCAAATGCTTCTGTAAAAGAGAGCATGATGCAGATATTTCTGTGGATTAGAGCTGGCACACAGCACAAGCATTGGTTACCTTTGTGAGCATTGGTTGGAGCTTTCATTCTCCACAAGCATAAGGAAAAGCCGCTGTACTGCACATTTCATCGTTACATGCACATGGATCTGTGGTACAGTGAATTAGCAAAGTAGAATCTCCTGACCATGCACTATTCTGTACACAGTTGGACATGCTGTTGTTGACAGTGACACTGACTTGCACCTGCTATCCATGTCATATTATAGGAGAACGTGTTTCCTCACAATTGACTGCCAGCAATGCCTTTTGTGCAAAGGTGATTTTACATGAAGCATGATAAACTGCACTCTCTGACAAACCCTCATGACTTGTGCCAGTTGAATTGTGTTTTTATGAATGATGAAGAGCAGCACAGCAGCCATCGCACATTTGAATTCCTTTTCCCTGCTCCAACACAGCAGAATCTTAACTGTGACACAAAGACCACTTGCTGTGCTGACACTGCTGGCCAGTTTGCTGCGCTGCAGAATTGATCTGGACATGCGCAGGTAAAGTGGGTCTTTCACTGCACTGTTTGTATGGGTACATGGCCACATTGTTTCTCAGAAACACAACTTCAACATCATTGTGCACTTGTGTGCTACAGAATGGGGCAACTCCATTGCTGGTTGCAGCAGAACTGGGATACCCAAAGGCTGTGGAGGAGCTTCTGAGGAAAAGACCATTGGTTGATGCCCAAAACAAGGTAGTGGAGTTGCTGATGCAGCCCTGAACAACCAAGTGTGGCAATTTTGCTTGAGAAGTTTTGTTGTGTGTTGGAGGGATCAGTTGGAAAATGTTTTGGCCCTGTGCTTGCTCTGCTGTGAGGCATAGCTCGATGTCCAGTGAATTCATAACTGCATTCGAGATGACACCCTGCAGCACTGTACCTCATTGGCTCCATTTGCAAAGGTGGCCATGCATTGCCCTTGCATTGCCCTGATTGGCAGTGCTGCACCGCTGTTTCCTGCTCGGGTTGTTCAACACCATGCTTGTTTTGACAGGATGTTTGTCTCTAGTGTGCTTTGCATGCGTCAGCCAGGTCGTTGTGTGCATTCTCCAGGTACAGGGAGAACAGGCAGCCAAAAAGGTTGCTATGAACGAATCCCAAACATGTGCAGAGGTTCTAATGAGCCAGACCTGGGTGCTTCCCTTGTGCACTGTCCCAGTTCAGCCACCACCATGGCACCAAGCAGTGTGTGTTTTGTCCGGCACGTGCATCGATGGAAACAGATCACCATTTTGCTCTGTCTTCGTGCTCACACACCAGTTTTGTCGTATGCTCCAGGACCAAGCAACCGCCCTCTACAGTGCTGCACAGAATGGATATGTCACAATTGTACAGCAGCTGCTTAACAATGGTGCCGATGTGGACATCCCCTTCAAGGTACTTTCATCAAGTTTGAGAGAGAGTGCAAGTCGAACCCATAGCGTATTCCACACATGCCAAGAACATCGTGCAATGGAGTCACATTATACTTCCTTCAATGTCACATTGATAGCATACCAGTGTGTGACAGCTGTCACGCCACCATGGTTATTGTGTCCCTCATTGCCAGCTGAATGCAGTAGGTGACATGTGTTTCTTGCGCCTGGGCATTTTAATTATCTCCTACTACGGCAGGATCGCCAATAACATTTTGTAGCATTGTGATGAGATGATGGTATGGCATGAATGCCAGGCGATTGGTGGAAATACTTGTGGAGCCAGTGTTTTCAACCGGAATCAATGGAAAACCTTGTGCTCTGGGCTGCCTGGACCAGGTGTGGATTGAGTTGCAGTAACATCTATGTTGAAATGTATACCAGGAGGCATCAGAGTGCATTTCTTGTATGTCATGGTGGTGTAGTGGCGATGCTACAGATCAGCCCATCATAGTATTTCCTCCCAGAGCTTTGTTCTTCACGTTTGTTGCTTCGAAAGGTGCCAAATGCACAGCTGTATTCTACAAGCCGTCAGTTTTCGCAGCAGCGGCTAGTCTGCCATGGGAATGGAGCCCAGTAGGCCATTCAGGTACTCACAGCACATTCTGACCATGTACGCCCCTCAAACCCACCAATACACACAGTATTGTGGTAACTACCTTGTGTAGGGAGATGCACAGGTTGGTGTGCATGGATTTTGTCCTCACGTTGTATCCTCACGAGCATGCTATTTATTCAGACTACTGCTGCAGATTATGTTGCTCCCTAGAGAGGTTTTGCTCATTGATGTATTGCCCCATGCAGGACTTGTCAACGCCATTGTACAAAGCATCCCAGAATGGACATGTCATCATAGTCAGGCTGCTGCTCAACAGTGGAGCCAACGTGGATTCGGAATTCAAGGTGCTTATGACAGTTGTTGAATTCAGCATTGCCGATTGTCGCAGTGCATATTCATGCCCATCTCTCCCCAGGCACAGGGAAAGTGCATACAAGAGACATGGTCACACAGGAATCCCAATATGCAGACACATCGTGTTCGTCTTACCCTACTTGTTCCCAATTTCAAATAAGGGAAAATGACAAAAGGGTTGCCTCTGAGAGATATCTTGACAGAAGGGGGTCCTCTGTGACAAAAGGGGTCCTCTGCGGGCAAGCATTTGACAAAAGGGGGTCCTCTGACCGCCCCCTGTACATTAGATGCGTTGTCAGACTGGCGCTAGACTAGCATCGTTTGGCAAGCTGGTCCTACTAGGGGCGACTCCGCAGAGGAACCCCTTTGGTCAAATGCACCCCCACAGAGGACCCCCTTTTGTCAATTTCCCTTTTGGGGTGTTGTAGGGGGTTGTGGGGTCTGCCCTTGGTGTGCAATTGGTCTTCATAAAAATATACTTCCTTTGTCCAAATTTAATTGTCCTCTGTTTAAAAGACAGAACCCGTTACAAGGACTGCCTCGAAATTGAAAACAAGTTTCAGAAACGGAAAAATTACGTTGCAAAACCCTTAACTACCGATTTTCAAGAATAGGAAATGAGACACGAGCCCTTTGAGCATTAGGGGGAAGGTAAATTTTGGTCATTTTTGACCCCAAATACCGAGGTTCACTAGGTAAAAGACCACTGGTACAAAGAACTGCCAAATCCTCAATACTTAGTGAGTTGACTTGAAATTTTGATAGTATGCTCCAAACTTACAAGCACAACTTTGGGCGAAATTGTATTGAAAACTGATGTAAGTGCGATGGAGTAGTCGTGCCCCATAGTCATAGAGGACAATTATTCTTGGACGGACGAAGTGTGAATCATTATGAGCAATGACATGATTGTGTTGCTGTTTCAAAGTCATTCAAAAACGTCTTTTGGGGCAAAATCTGAAGAGATGGCGTGTTAGCCTAGAATTTTATTCTTTCAAATTCGTTAGCTTCTCATGACATTTATTTCAATCTGACCGTTTCAAAAACACGCATGCTCACCTGCGTGGCACAAAGGAGTGAGTGTTGCATGAGCTTCTGAGCATGCATTCAAGAAATAAAGTGGACTTGCATTGGAACTGTATGAGTGGATCAAAATGGCTGCATGTTATTTTGAGATCACAACACAATACTTTGTGTCTTTTTGTTGAGTTTCATGCCATAAGTGTTGATTGGGACACACTGATAGCTCAGCAATTGGTAAAGGGGTCATAGAACTGTTTGATAGCGATTGAGATTTGTGATTGATGGGTTGTATTCGATGGGCGATGTCGTTGGTGACTACTGTAATGCAATGAGGTGCATGCAGCGTAAATTTTTCTTAGCAAGGTCGGACTTGGTAGGGCCAGACAAGTCCAAAATTGGCAGGTTGGTCATTGTTTGGATTGTGGTTTTTCGCATCTCAGTTGTGAAAACCGTCAGTATGGCATGGTTTCTAGGCTCAAGGGCCATTTTTCCAAATAGACGTTTTCAGTGACTTCACTTTACAAAGAACTCTTGCAAAATCAAAGTGCTACAATTGCCCCGCATCTGCCAAAGCTTGTGTGTTGTAGACGTCAGCCCTCAGAAAACTCACTAACAAACAGAACATTCAGACTGGAAATCACACCAGAACATTAAAAGTTGTGGGCAGCATCTCCGCAGCCACCGTCTCACAGCTGTCACCGGCCCTTAGTAGTGGTGGTTGAATTTCAACCAGTTGTTTAACCCCTGGCAAAAACACACAACTTTCACCTCAGGACCTTTAGCAAATTAATAACCCTTACACAGAGTTTTCACAAAACTGTACAACACAACTCAGTGGTTATAGTTATTCCATCGTGAAGGCATTATCAGCCAACAACAGTACAGATGCCACAAACATTCTCACAGATCAGCAGCAGCCATCCCCGTATCCCTTATAACCGTCCTACACAACTCGGTTTGCACTGACAATTGCATGATTTGCCACAGTTTTGTGCCCACTTGAGGTGGCTTGTGGACTGCCACCGCAATAGGAGCATGTAAAATGAAGGCAATGCCCAGTGTGCTGGCCCGCCCAGCATCACATTCCCTGTATGGCCTGTTTAGTAGCGCAGTGTTGTGCCTTTCAACCTGTCGATGCGAACAAATGCCCCCCAAACTCCAAGGCGCTCTCTGCTGGTCGACGGTGCTCATTTCGTAGTTTCAACAAACTGGTGCTTGGCTTGATCTCATTGCTGTGCAGGACGGAGCGACCCCATTGACGATTGCAGCGACAGAAGGGCACGTTGAGGTGGCCTTAGAGCTGATCAGGCAGGGCGCAAACGTCAATGCCCAAAGGATGGTACGCAAGAGCGGCACACCTTGGCATTCTAGCAGCGCCTGTCTTTCTTAAGGACAATGTTTTCCAGATTCCAACTCTGGTAGTCAGTCCTTTGTGGCAGCGACGCTTTGGCGGCACTTCTGGGACCACTGGCTGTAAGGCAAGGAAGCTCCTTCCTGTGGTTTAGGGACTGCCATTGGTGGAATGGCCCCACAATACCCTGTGCAGCATGTACTTGTTGGGTTCCATTTGAAGCATGTCACTTTGTTGGTACACGATGTCAGTGGATTTGGTGTTGTGCGGCCACCGATTGAAAGATTGTGACCTGGCACTCATGTTTCCTCGATTTTGCGCTCCATAGGATGGCGACACGCCACTTCACTGGGCGGCAAGGAGGAACCGTCAACACATGGTGGAACTCCTACTGCACAATGGTGCCAACAGGAAAATCAGAAACAAGGTACATGTCTGTGTAATTGTGTGTCTAGCATTGGGAGTGGGCTATTGCGGAACACCTCTGGTCTTGTCATCCAAGTTGCCAATTTTGCATACATTCTCCAACTGAATGAATGTAATTGATGGATGTATGTGTGCACAATGTAAGATGAATTTTCCAGTTTTAGAACACGCCTCACATTTAGACTGGAGGTGCGTGTGTGTTGTTGAGACTCTTAACGACACTCATGCGGTTCCAGTCCCGGCTCTTGAGCCATTTACCAGCATACTATGCATGAGTCAATCCTATGTATACTCAATCCAGCTGTTGAAGCCGTCATCGTTTTCCTGCAACTCCATGCATTGTCGTCTGTGCCATTGTTTCTGCATGTTAATTTGATTCCCTTGTCTCTTGATCTTAAGTACCACCAGGTGATATTGTCGGGGCTGTCATGCAATGGGAAACCATCAATGGTAGCAAGAGCGACACCCGTGCTTGCACGTGAACGATAATGTACTACACATGCATGTAACTGCATTTGGCTGCTCGTTGCCTCTCGCCCTGCTGCAGCAACATTGAAGCCAGAACGAATATGGCAATATCGTGCCTGGGTGTATATTGAATGCGTTTTGCATGTATGTTTTGGTGCAGTACGGCGTGTTTGGGAACACGCCTGCTGATGTTGCCAAGAAGGAGGGCCACCATGCAATTTTGAGGATACTGAACGCCCGGGGGTGACACTTGCCAAGGGTGCACAAGTTTTGGGGAGCAGTAATGAACAGCCGAGCGGTGGACAGGTGAACTGAAGGACCACTCTCAAGTGGTGGCGATCAGAGGCTGCACACTGTGGAGAAGCAGCTGGAGGGGAGGATGTGGCAGGTGAGATACGCGAAGGGGCTGAAGACGGACAAGAGGGACAGCTTGCAGGCCCGCTCAGTGCAGTGGTATATGCAAGAGGCAGACCCGACGTCCCAGTCAAGGACACCTTCGATGCTGCAGTGAGGTGGAAGCTGCCTGAGAGGGAGCCAGACAGGGCCTTCGTTTAATGATGGCTGCAGTGCTACTGCTGGCGCTGCTCACTGTTTTCCAACGCTCAGGGTCGATGGCACCGTTGCAATTCATTGTGTGGTGAACGCCTACAGAAAGCCCCCTTTGTGTTTCTGCAGTGTGGGTTTCACTGTGTCGATATAGGTTGCGCCCATTTCGTCAACACTCCTATTGACAACTGTGAATCAATGTTGGCACACTTGGGGTACGGACACATGAAGGCATGATGTACCCGCAAATAGGTACTTGAAGTGCTTTCTCTATGATCCAGCGACATAGCCAACAGTGCTTTGCACAATGCGCACAGCTTTGCATGCTGGAAGTAAGTCCAATACAACCAAAGCAGTCCACACATGTTGCTGCTGACATAAGCTGCTCCATGATAAGCAGCACGAAGTATTGGAGTGAATTCAAAGCACGTTTTGTTACAAGCTCGTGGACGTCAACAAGTGGCTCGCATTGCAAATGTGTTACACTTGCCCCGATTGCCAAATGTCAGTTTGCAAAACCACAAACATGGCTGCCAAGCGAGTTTCAAATCAACCCACATACAGAATATACTTTCAGCTGCAGTTCTGACCAGCATACAAACATATCACAGCGCCCATTTCGCAGAGAAGACTGGTCTTATTCCTCAATTCCTATCTTCAAAACTAACGTCCTGTGGAACACAACGGATCGTCCCATTGCTACACCATTGCTATATCCTGCCAGGTGTTGCTGCAGCTCTGTGCTGCACAAAACTGCACGTCACATCTACTGGCCCTGATTTGTCACACTCGCTTCCCATGGCCACAGATAACCAATCACACATACAGACCTGTCCACATCATGAGGAAGAACAGGCCCAGACCCTGTGGAAGGCATCACGCCATCAGTGCACATCTTCATTAGTTTACCAAAATGCAACAGTCAAGGCACGTTCACCTGCTAGGCAATAGCACCATGCCATCAACAGACTATGAAGACTGCCATGCCACAGAAACTGATGTCCTTGAAACATGTAAGAGCAATGCACCTGACAGCTGATCGATACAACTGCAGCAGAGACGATCTTCATGCGCATGCCTTCACTATAAAAACAATAGAAGCAGGAACCTTGTAGGAGAGGATCTGCTTGTTGGAGAGGTCCATCAGGCAGCTTGCCTGAATGCTGGCTGTCGGTTTGGTCACATGGGTCAAACAGGGAGGGATGTCATCATGGAGATCATGACCACTCCCTTCCCTCACAACAATTTGTAGACAACAAAACAGGCCTCACCAAGAAAAACGACGACAAGAGCGCAATAACTAGCTCATCCAGAAGTCTCCGAGTGCTCTTTGTCTTTGTGACTTCATACCTGCAAAGTACAAACACATAGCAGCTCAGTATATTGTGCCTTCTTGCAAAGTATTGCAGCAACAAGAATGCTGGCGACATCAGGCGTCTACAGTATGGCAGCAAACCAAAGCAAAACACCTGAGATCACCCATGTTTCTGTGAAAGATCACCCATGTTTCTGTGAAAGATGCACAAGAGGACAACGCTGCAGCAACTTGTTTGCATCCATGCTTAAAACAGATTGTGCAGGTGAATAAAAAATCCATGACTGACCCCGAGGCTGCATCACAACCTTGTGTCATGTCTGGCCAAATTCATCTTGCCAAAAGTTTCCTTCACGATTTGAAAATGGGGCACTTAACCCAGCAAGACGATGTCCATGCCACTGCTCTTATGGCGAAATTGTCTTGCCCACAAGTGCTAAAGTTTGGCAGTGCTTGCAGGTCCTAAAACCAAACATCTTCAGGCCGCCTCCACTGACAACCAATAGATGGATGTCCCCAGCTCCCTGCTAGTTAATCTGCTGACTACTGGAACAATGGCTATTGTTTCAACAGCTGTGTTTAGGAGCTTGCACCCCAATTTCATACAGTGCTGTAGGAGCAGCACAGCATTCTTGCGTACCATGCACAGAGGGCAGAATTGGCATTTGTGAGAAAAGTCTGTGGATTGCAAAGCAATAAAGCAACCAGCTGCAAGTTGTGCTCCATCAGGAATTCCGCCTGGCTGCACTTCACAGTGGTCATCTTGCTAATCGCATCTTTGGGCATAAAGGACACTGAAGCATTAGTCACAGCGACAAAACCTGCCAAATGTCCACAGGCTGTGTGTTGCCAGCTATCAGCACAGACAAGGGACAGCCCAGAGCAGTCGCTGCTCCTGATTGGATAGAGCAGTTGTTTCGTGCGAATCTGAGACACCTACACGACGAAGCAGCCTGCCGTAGCCGTCCCAGCTCCAAGCAAGACAATCGCCAGCATCGGGTACAGGCTCACATGCAAAGGGCTCTCCACCGGCTGCAGCATCTGGAGCCACCAACAGCTTTGAGTTACAGCACCACTGAGAGCACACAGACACAGCAGAGGCAAGAGTTGATTCCCCCTGGAATCTGCCCTTGGAGGGGAAGCTGTGCACACGCCCTTTCAGACGATCAAACACGCTGAAACAAACGAACGTGTCGATCAAGGGCCCTTTCCATTGCGCTGCCCTACTCTTAGGCAGACGACCAAACCAGACGACCCCCGCACTAGAGGAGAAACCATGTACTATGGCTGTACGCAGAGTTCCAGAACGGTTACATCAAGGGTGGACGTCCGCGTCCGCGCAGGCCGCTGCTCTATTGTCTTCAAGATCCGCAGGCTGAGTTCCACGAGTGCGGGGACGGCAGGCGACAGCGCCTCCTGTCCCGGCACAAGATAGACATCCGAACGAAGCCCGGCTTCAAAACGCTACGCCGCTCACCGCCACCATCTCCGCTGCAGTCCGCGCAGCCGCGCCCTGAAGTGGGGCGACCCCTCGGAATTCTCGTTCAGGATGGCGCGCAGCAGCGCACCGGAGCGGCGGGATAGATGATGTACATTGGGGACAAACCGCACCGGACCCTTGGGCCCAAGGGGGTGCCAAATTGGACGTACTTGCGACCGGTGCTGTCGTCCCATGCCACTCCAGTTGGCCCGCGCTCTCTCCCTGCTGCATCTCGTCGCTCGCGGCGCCCTCCACCCCGCCACCCGCCAGCCGGCCCGCACGCCCTCAGTCGGGTGCTCCACCTCCTCTGCGAAGATGCCCGAAGGCGCCGAGGCCATGCAGCTGACGATCTCGCAGAGCATCGACGTCGAGGATGTGATCAGCGCGGCCGAGGACGCCGGGCGGGTCATCCTGGGCATCTACAACTCCAGCGAGGACTCCTGGGGCTTGGAGGTCAAGTCGGACAACTCGCCGCTCACCCGGGCCGACCGGTGCGCGCCCTCCCCCACACATTCGTCACCCAGCAGCCTCGATCTGCACATTCTCCTCCCTTCTCCCTATGCTTCTCCCTCCTCTCCGCTCTCCTTGTCCTCCCAGTTCGTCTGCTTTCTCTCCCGTACTGGTCTTTCTCCGTTCTGTTCTCCTCCCATTTCATCTCCTCAGCGTCCTCCTCCTCCCAGTCCTTCCGCGTGCTCGTCCGTGCTCTGTCTTCCTCTTCCCCGGCCCGTTTCCCTCCCAATTCATCTCCTCGGCGGCCTGGCTGAGTCCCGTCGCCCCATTTCCAGGGACGCCAACGAGCTGATCTGCTCGCGCCTCCAGCGCGCCGCGCCCCACGTGCCCATCGTCTCAGAGGAGAACCGCGCGACGCCCTACGCCGTGCGGGCCGGCTACCAATACTTCTGGTGCGTGGACCCGCTGGACGGCACCAAGGAGTTCATCAAGCGCAACGGCCAGTTCACCGTCAACATCGCCCTCGTGCGCAAGGACACGCCAGTCCTGGGCGTCGTCCACACGCCATGCCAGGGCCGCACGCACTGGGCGGTAGAAGGCAGGGGCGCCTACGTGCGCGAAGGCGGCAAGGGGGACGCCCAGATCCACGCCGCAGAATTCAGCGATTCCGATCCAGGCCTGACGCTGGTAGGGTCGTCCAGCCACACGAATGCCCAGACGGAGGCCTTCGTGGCGCGCTACAGGGAGCCCAAGTTCTCCCAGCTGGGAAGCTCGCTGAAGCTGCTGCTGGTGGCAGAGGGCAGGGCGCATGTGTACCCGCGGCTGGCGCCCACCAGCGAGTGGGACACGGCGGCCGCGCACGTGGTGGTCACGGAGGCGGGGGGCAGCGTGGTGCAGGCGGGGGCGTGCGACGAGAAGGGGGCGGCGCTGGAGGACTGGGGCGAGGCGCTGGGACGGGGCCGGCCGGTTGTGTACAACAAGGAGTCGCCGCTGAACCCGTACTTTGTGGTGTACGGCAAGAGGCGGGCTATGTAGGTGCGGGCGGAAGGGAGGTCCGGGGGCAGAGGTTTGAAGCCACGGGATTCTTTGCGCGCCATCCCTGTTGGGAAGGTATGGAATGGATGCGCTTCTTGAATGGGCTTGGTTTTGCTTTACATTGAGAGAGCTCATCCGGTCCAGTGTACACCTGCTTGCTATGGTCTTCTGCGGCTGGTGGTCTGACTCATTCACTCACTCAAGAGTGCCGTAGTGATTCTCCAGCCATCTGGGAGCCCCAGCTCTCAGGCAGCATGGCTGCGCAGTGGTGTGCACAGCGGGGTGCCAGGAGCAACCAGCATGGCGTTGGAGGCTGGCTGGCCCTGCTCTTTCCAGGATAGTCTGATCTGGTCACGGACTTCCCTTATAGTAACCCCCACATGCTGGTAGCTCTCCCTGAGCAGGTCCAGCATGTTGTTGAAGGCAGCCGTGAGCCTATCTTCTTTTGCTTCACAGTCCCTGCCCAAAATTGGTCCATCAGAAACATTGCGGACAGAACAAAAACACTTCACCACATGTAAAGAAACCAACAGGAAAACCAAACACTGAAAAGAGTCGTAGAATGTGGAACTGGTGTGGAATTGGTGTGGGATTGGTGTTGTGTCTCTGGGAGCCAGGGCAGCTACAAGTGCGTCAAGGCAAATATGAATTGGGCAACAACCTATTTTTTCAAATCATCCAAAGAAATGGGCTGTGAGCCACCACTTGGAAAAAACACTATTTTTCAGAGCAGATTGTCCCAGAAACGCCAGATTAGTTGAGTACTGTCAGTAAGGGTTTCCAGCCAGTGGTTGCCAACAGATTGGTATGGGACCGTGCTCAGAGACTGTGTTGCCAAGTGTGCTCTTGTTGCTGGCTTTCAAGGTGGTGAGTTGTGAACGAAAGGGGGCCCCTACAAGTCATTGAAATTGCATCAATGGCATGTAGCTTGGGCAGTGCACAAGATATGGATTAGAGTTTGGAGTCTACAGGCAGCCTTGCTGTGACGATGAGGTTGAATGCAGAAAGCTAGTGGTAGCTGTGGTCTAGTTTTCTGCATGAACGTTGCCCCAGGGTATAGGGGCTCCAACACTGTGCAGGAAAGTTCTTCAAGATGAAAAAGACAGGGCTATGGCTGTTAATTTTTATGTCCTGGTTCTCTGTTTTGAGCTGTATGGCTTTCTATGGGTGTACACAGGCAGACTGGAGTAAACAAACCACCTCAAGTTCGGGCTTTGCTACTAATCGCAGAAACAGCTTTCTTGCATCGGGAAACATTGTCAGTGCTTTCATCTGGTTGGACAGCCAAGGGTCCTTCCAATACTGCACAAATTTTCTGATGACATGTTCCCACCTTGCAACTTCTTCGTAGGCAGCCTTTGCTGCTTTGGCTTCCTCTGCTGCCTGTGCAACGGAAGCCTCGCCATGGTTCTTCAATCGTTCCACTGCCATCTGTCAAATATAAATCAGCGTCATTGGCAAGCAAAGCACATCAGAACAATCGGCAGATGGTAAGACAACAATTTTACACCTGAAATGCTTCACAGTGGGATGCACCTCCAAAACAGCATCGTCCAGTGGTTGCATGGGCACTTCTTGGTCATGTTTTGGCAAATTCAAACAATGAGCGTATATGCATTCAGGCCCAGCCACTCAGGCAGTCTGCTGCCGAACTGGGAGTGGCTTCTTTGTGGCTTCCTGACTTGGTTTCAACTGCAGGCTGTAGAATCGCAACTGACACCAGTAGAAGAGCGTTTGCAGTGCCAGTTTCGCCAAGGCCCTTGTGGCCTTGTCCACCAGGGTACATCAAGGAAAAATGCATTCAGAAACAGGTGCTGCCCAGAAATTGAGTTTAAGCTTTGTTGCTTCCCACCAGTCAATTTGAATAGGTCACAGTCAGACTGTGAATGTGTGTACCTTCATTCCTTCGATCTTCTTTCCTGCTAGCCGTGCATCTTCATCGATGGCATCTTTGATGCCCTGCAAGTCGTCTTCCAGCTTGTTGATCTGTTGGCAGGACAGAGAGCATCAACTCTATTAGTCAGACAAGGCATACAGGATAAAGACCCTTAAGATGTCAATCTGGGATGATTGGCTGACGCTGCCACACCCACACCCATGATGACATTTGTGGTGATGTAGATTGGTTGCCGGAACCCCACAATGCCACAGGATTCTGGAGGCAGTGGCCTCCATCACAGTTGTCAGTCCGTTGCCAATTTGAGATCTCCAGCCCTGTTTGTGTTTTCTTTTTCCAAAGTGTTACATTGCATATTGGAATCCAGGCGTCACCAATGTCTCAACAGGAGTGACAAGGCCTTTTGCCACTTAGGAAGAGCGTGCAAGGAGCTGTAAAGCCTCAAAGATGCGTCGTTAGGAAGTGCAAAAGGAAATATAGGAATAAATCGAGTACTAGAAAGAATGTTCACCCTCTGTTCTGCTTCCTTGTGAGTTTCCTTTTGCTCAGCGAGCCTCTCACAGAGCGAGTCGTGTTGTTCTTGGAGCCCGAGCTTGTGAGTGCCCGTAGATCTCCATTTGATGGTGTAAACCTCCTTCAACTCCTGCAAGGCTGGGATGACAAAGCCCTATTTGCACAAATGCACAGGCAAAGATTATGTGTTTGCAAAGCTTGTGTTAGTCAACAAAGTTGTAAAGGGAATGCTGGCAATGAGCAACTGTGAATATGGCACAACTTTTGCAACGGGCATGAGTGATCCGCAACAGTGCATGTGGTGTGACAGGCTGTGGGCAAAATGATGCGCGACACACAATGGCACAACATTTCCCAACGCTCCTGGATAGCTGCTGGCATAGCGCTGGTTATTCCTTGCATTGTCCACTGCATCAGTTCGTTCATAACAACAAGGGCATCCTACTTTTATGTCAATCGGGCACAGCTCGGACGAGGAGTGTGCTGTCCTGTCGATGTTGATTTCTAACTGCCTGCCACCTGCTCGCTTTGCAGTTTGTGGGATCAGTTTTAAATGCTGTGCTGCGACGTTGTACTCATGCACTTGCGCTTGCAGCTTGTCCAAGTCCTCCTCCACCTGATCACAGTTCAATATCACAATAAATAACCAAGAAATCTCGTCAATATCTCATCAATTGCAGATCCTTTGCAGGGGACTCTTTAGCAATGCAAATGCAGCCACGTTCCAACATTTTCTGCAGTTTGCATAGGCTAACTTAATGGCCTTGTCAGGCAGAAAGCATGGGCTGACGCAGGAACGAACAAGCTGAAACGCAGCTCACCATCATTTCCAACTGATAGGCTTCCTTCTCCATGTTCGCCCTGTGTGCTGCCGCGTTTGCCCGCATCTGCTCCAATTTCTTCCTGTCGAAAATCAAACAAGTTCAAAAGCGACGTGGATTGCAGTAATGTTGCCATGAAAATACAAATTCAGGAGTGTGTTCCTGCATACCGAGCCATGGGTACGACACAAGAAGCAATGCGAACAACATAGGGGCTGTGGGCAGTGCAGTGCAGACACGTCCGCCGAAAATTTCACTTTGTGGAGGCAGATAGTAGGAAACAGCAATAATCCAGTCCAACGTCAAGGTCCCTGAGGCCACACCTCTCATTCATCATTTTATTGACATCGTCGATGCTGATGTTCTGCGCGGCCACTTGAGCGCGCAGATTCTCGATTTCCTGCAAACAAGACACTGAAAGCGACTGAGACTGGCATTGAACTGCTGTTGCTGGCTGCTGTGCGTTTAACCACAGGACAGAGCCATGTACCCCCTGTTTTGTTTCAGCCCCACCTGTTCGTTATCATGGGGTATAGTGGCTGACCTTTCAACAAGCAGTGCACAGGCCTTGCAAGCGCTCACAAACTAATGCTGTCTGAGCATCTGAGTTCACCAAACGTGTGCCCTGATTGGTGTGTTGCTTTTCACTTTGCCTGCAAGCATCTATTCATTGTGTCTGCTCCACTTGCCTGTTGTGTTGCTGACAATTCCCGCTTCTTGAAGGCTAAGTCACTTTCTCTCTCTGCAACCCTTTGCTTCAGCTGCTTTTGCTGATCCTGTGCAAAATGGCACAATGTGTTGATTTGCAACGGCAAGTTCCTCCACCATACTGCAAGCCACAGAAAATGCTTGCAATGTAGTGATCAGCCCGCTAGCAAAATGACCAGATTGCAACTTGATCCTGTCCTGTCACAGGCCCATTTTGTTGAGAACTGGGAGACTGTCCCCAACACAATATCGCTTGACCAGGGGAGCGATGGCTCATTGCACGGTTGCCAATTGGCAACCTCTGTTGCATCGCACCTGTTGTGCCTGTATCAACGTCTCAAACTTCTGTTGGTCCCTCTTTACCAAATCCAACTCCTGCTGCGCACAGCTGAGGGGAGACTGCTCTGTCTTCAGTTGTGCCACCCTGTCGGAAAGCTCCTCTCGTTCCTGCACAGCAGCACCAGAGGTTATATTTTGCAGAAAGAAGTTGCCTTTTGCAGGAAAAGAGGTTTACGCATGGACAACATCCCCTGAGAAAGCGTACATACAAGACTCTTCTCGATGCCGCCTGATGATCCGCAAGTCTCCAACTGCAAATCATTTGAGGCGAGATAGAGACTTACAACACCCTCCAAGGTCCGATGGGACATCTGTCAGAAGCTTTGCCAGCAGATACCACACGACATCTTTTCAGATGGCCAGTTAGTTGCTCATCAATTGCTGGCCAGTGCCATACCACAGGAACAAAATATCCAAGGTGTCCTCATGGATGGCTTCCATCAACTACGATCAACAATACCTAACAATCAATCTGCCTCTGTTGTCCAATTGATTCCCAGCTTCAGCTGCACAAGCGTATTGAGCATTTGCCTTGGGACATTGGTCCTAGTGTCGCTGATGGGGCTCGAACAACTGTCGTTGGCCTTCAGGGATGAGCTTTGACACTGCGCACATATGCGCACATGTAGCAGCACAGGGCAATACCAGAAAACATTTGTCAACACTCCATTAATCTACTTAGCACCAGCAAAAGCTAGGGCTGTGGTGGCATGTCATATCACGTCGTAATCTGATGCCAGAAATGAAATGACAACCACCACAACAGCAACTGAACAACTCATGCTCCCCTGCCCACCCGCTTCTTGGCTTCAATCCGTTCTGCCACCAGTGCATTCTCCTGCCGGAACCCTGCAAACATCTTCTCATCGATCTCTTCCTGTTTGTCATCCTCCATCGCTATGAATGCCTTGTAGCTCCTAGTCAGGTGCTCGAAGCTGGTCGCCTTGATGACGTCTGGGCCGACCTCTGACCCTGCGCCACCTGCCAGGCTCCTGTCTGCAACCACTGTTTCGATGTAATTGATGCACGTCACCAGCCATGAGACGCTGCCCAGGATGGGTGGCCATGAGTGTGGAGCCCCCACTGCAGTCAACGCTGATTTGGAAACCTGGCAACAGGAGAGATCACGCTCTTATTGCCTCCAACCAATCCATATCCCATACCCCTTAAAACCCATATCCATATCTCACTTTTCTGGCCAGCCAATAGTAACCCTTCACACATCTTACATTTTTAGGTGCCCTGCTCTGTGTTTTCGCGCGGCCCTGTCACACTCTAAACACACCCAGGTGGTTCTGCTTGTTTCTGGGGATCTGCATAATTTGCGCGCTCTCACGATGTCCTCTCCGGCCCAACTGCCAGAATATCCGATGCTTTCCGATGATCCAATCCAGGTGGAAACACGCGCCTGGCCAATTTACCGCTTCCCGCTCCCAACGCAAAGGTTGCATCAGTTCAAGCATCGCCTCCCCAGGATCGCCTCACCTGGAATGGATACCTCAGCCGTCGAAGCAGCGTAGGCACCTGGTCCTCCACCTTGGCCTGGACGTTGCGTGGCCGGGGGTCCAGGGCGCGCTGCAAGGCGCTCACGATCACCTTGAACTCCTTGCCGGAGGGGCCACTCAGGGCTCTGGGCCCCAGGCCATGGATGTCACCCCTGGCCTCTAGGAACTGCGTCACCAGCTCCTGCTGGATCCTCATGAACTCCGCGTCCTTGAGGGGCCGGGGATCCGCCTTCAGGGGCCCCCGGCCCATCGCGCTGGACTTTCGCGAGATCTTCGACAGCCGCGGTGCGATGTTGGGGCGGGCGAGGGGCGTGGGAGCGCCGCGATTGGCGGGCCGATTGAGGACCGTCGACAGGCGCATGGGCTTGGCCTTGATACCGCGATCGCCGTGAGACGCCATTCGCGACTGAGCCGATCAGAGCCGGAACAAGGAAGAGGGAGGGGGGAGGGGGACCGTTGTGGTCAAGGTTGGAACGGGGCGTCCGCTGCTGGTCAGCGGTCTGTTGGCCACCGTGGGGCAGTGTGGGTTTGGGCACCAGGCACCCAGCGCGGGCGCTGCCAGGCACAGGAGTCTGACGTCAGAATTTGAATCTGGCAGTCCAGCATGGAAGGGGGGCCGTTTGATCGCCTTGATCGGCCCTGTGAGTCCCTCCCGCCTGGCCTCCTTCGGGGAACTGCCGTGTTGGCGCTGCTGTGGAATGGAGGGCTCCCGCAGAGGGCTGGCGGGGATGGCAATGAAGGCGCTGCGAAATACGTATTGGTGGGATTTGGCACCGGGTGGAGGGGGGCCGTTGTAACGACTGGGTCCCCTCAATGTGGCCTGGGGCCTGGTGCTTTTCGGCGGGAATGGAATTGCTGATTCTTCAGTTTTTTATAGTTCCGCTCGTCTCGTTTGGGGAATTGCGCGGGCTGGTGCTTGGTGTCGTCATTTCTGAGGGGTAGCGCTGGCTTGCAGGCTTGTTCGCCACGGGGAGAGCGTGCCAAACGTTCAGAACTTGATTGTATCTTCAATGGTGCGCAAAGCCGAAGGGATGGGATGCTCTCGTGTGTGACCTTGTCGCTGAGGCTCTCGTCGCGCGACACTTTCTCACATTCCTCCAGAGGGTTTTGGAACGGCAGGGCCGGTGAATGGTTGTGCTGCGTTGCCTTGGGCGAATTGCGTGCCCCGAGGTTGGCACGTCCATGGACAAAGCAACGAACGCAAGCAGTTGGGATGCGCTGGTTACAAACGAAAATTTATTGAACCGCAAAAGTGTGCGAGCTCAGGATGCCGCGATGCAAAAAATGTGCCTCAGTCCCAAAGTGTGCAATCTCATTGCGGACAGCTTGCCGAAGCCCTTTCACGGAATGGATTTGAGTTTCCACCACAAACGTGCTCAGGAAGTGTGCCCATGGTACGAATAGCTGCCTTTTTGTTGACTGAAAGTGGACGTTCGGCAGTACAATATTGGCTATCGTTCCTGGGGCGCAGGAGGAAGGTGTGAAGGCTGAGTATGGACTGACGCCCAAAGGCAGGCTGCAAGCACAGAAAGCCGGGTACGCATCCATTGTGCCCATGGTCACCAACTCTGAGGTCTTTCTCAACCATTGTATGCACAACTGGACACAAGGTGCCGTGTATCTTCAGATGCAGGTTCTTCAAACCCTGTATATTTTTGCCCCCCACCCATGTTGCTTCTCATGCCTGAAAATTGACATTGGGTGTGGTTGCACTGTGAGACGGTTTGCTGCGAAGTTGCCAGGGAGTGGGCACGATGCTCTACCCACCTGCAACCACAATGGCTCAGTATGGCTCAGCAGGTGAAAGGTCAGCAAATTGTCAAATTCAGAGGCAATGCAATGAACAAGAAGCCAAGCTGTGCGTGGCCTCAAATTGGGTCGCTCATCTACTCCTTTTGGATCGTCAGATCTGTCCTCCTCTGTAGTTCCCACTCCCACACCCTCCTCGAACGTTGCAGATGCAAAGTACAGGCTGTGGGGGTATTGGGTGACTGAGGATGGCTAATGCTGCCAGGCAAGAATTGCACAACATTCTGGCCAGCTTTGCACACAGCAAAGTGCGGATTGTTTCATCGCCATTCTCCCGGGCACGAGAGACTGCTGAGCTGGTGGCTGCCAACCTTGGTTTTGAGAACAACAATGGAAGGTTTCAGGTGGGCTGTTTGAACTGTTGATGAATGTTACCCAGGTAGAATGCCAGGTTTGGATTACTAGCAGCAATCGGCCATGTACTAGAACCTGGCTGTTGAACATTTAACGATCAGGCATGGCCCAACTGGTGGGATTGGTGCACTGTACTGTGAGTGAATGCACCAACAATCCCAGTACGCAATGCCCACTTGCAGGCAAACATTTGAGTATTGATCCTGGATGTGCTGGTGTTTGCTTTGAATTGGTCAAACCAATTTCAGAGTCATAGCATAAAATGCTACTTCACGTTGTGCTCATGTTCAACCTTCAGCTCAGGAGCATGCACTGTCAGTTGCAGAAAACGTTTCCGATTCAAGTTTTGTGTGAAATGTGCACAACGGTTGCTTCAGAGGGGATGACCTTGTTTCCAGAACGGGTGCATTTGTCGCAAAGACACACACCACGATACAGCGAATTTTTGCTTGCAGAGAGGGCCTAGCAAAGATCAGTAGCGAATGTGGCGAGCAAAAATGTGGATTGATGATCGTGGATGCTTCTTTCGTCACAAACTGAGGAACTTGGCTCATTTATTGAGCTCTGGACCACTGGTGCTAATTCAACATCTTTGGCAAAGTGCATGACTTGTGTTGGCATTTGCTACTGTCATCCATCATCATATACCTTGTGCTTTGGACTCTGATCATGTGTTGCACCTCAAGATATGCAAATGCTTCACAGAATGAAAGACCATGCTTGAGGTCTGAAGGTTCTTATGAGTGCAAGCGTGAGCTGTTGTGTGTTTTAATGATTCGGTGTCTCCCCCATTGCAGTTAGATCTCTGAAATGCTGATGGAACGCTTTTTTGGGGCTGACAACGAACTCCAAGGGCATGAGGCGTACGGGGGCGTGTGGGAAAGAGACATGCGGGACATCACAGATGGTGGCCCTGCAGGGGGTGAGAGCGTCCAAGACGTATCCGCAAGAGTCACGACGCTTATGGAGGTGTGCTTCATGCTGCTTTGCAAAGAGAACACAATATGGCTCATGGTTCTGATGCAAGGTTAGATTGGTGCGACCTTATCTCCAACATCTGGAAGGCCTCTACAGACCATCCGTCAAGTTTCTTGACAATGCAGGAATTTGCGACAGTACGCATGCTTATAGTCAGCCTGCCTTTTGTTGATCTGATGTGCGCTTGAGGCTGCAGAAAGTCTAGAAAAGAATGAATTGTGTTGTGCTTGCACATTAATGTCTGGACATATTCAGCGGCGCTCTGATTTTGAGGCCTGCATGCGCCAGACGGGCAGGCCAAGAAACATTTCATGGGGCTCAGGCAAATTGAAGTTTGGTTTACTTTGCTGCTGCGCCAGCACTCCAACTCAGCAACTGTGCAAAGCTGACATTCCACCAGCCTGCTATTCAGTATTCATGTGCTGGCCCATCAATCGACAATTGTAGAGAACAGTAGCTCTCTGTAACCCGCATCCCTCCCCTCATAATCATCACTCGGCAATTACACTTGCCTTTTGCAGTGTAGCTGTGTGCACTGAACATCCTCGTAAGAGCACCTGACAATAAAGTGTCCAGAAAGAAGATGTGCTTGAACAGGCAGGTCCCAAGGGCGCCGGCATCGCCGTTTTGTGCGGGATGGCTGCATCACTTTCCTTACCCTGGTCTGTTGCCCACAGATTGGGTGGCGTTCCATCCTTTGCCTTCAGCCTGTTGGGCCTTGTGTGCAGGTATTGTAGGCACATGCAGCTGTCTTTTGATATCCATGATAGCCAGCAGGCCGGGTGGACGTTGGGTTTGTAGCTGACGCGATGCAGGTTGTTTTGGCACCACTGGCGTGGCTGAGCCATTGCAGTGCTGTGCCCGACCGCAGATGCTGGAGAGGGAGCACGAGGGCTGTGCAGTGGTCCTGGTGGCCCATGGAGACACACTATCAATCCTGCAGGCTGTCGTGAATGGGAGTGAATTGGGCCGTCACACACAGTACGGAATGAAGAACTGCGAAATCAGGAGGTTGGGCGGAGAGGCACACGAGTAGAAGCTGCACCGTCCGTCACACAGCCAGCAGTGGCCAGGCAGGGGCAGTGGCGGCAAGTTGTTCTGCTGCCCTTGGTTGGTTGGATGCTCTGGCACTTTTGAGACCAGTTGCCCATACCAACTGACACTAGGAGGGGCCATCACGACGTCTTCCACTGCATAGTGACCGAGTGCAACATGTTGATTGTGCTGAACTGCCCAGTGGCAGTCACTCTCCCAGATCAGCAGGTACCCAATTCTACGCATTGCAGAAGCCTGTCTTAAAATGCAGCTGCACAGTGAGGTATCACGCCCAAATATCGGTATGCCCATCAGCTTGTCCTCCAGGCCATAAGTCTAGCAAGATGGCAAAATCAACACCAACATGGGGCTGGCACAACTTACGGTCACTCACAGAAAAATGTAAACACCAGACAGTATTGCCTGTGTCAATATCCCCACAATCCAGATCCCCACCTCTGCGATTCCCACCACAAAGTGCATTATTCCAGTTCATGTGATCCAGAGGTTTGGCTATCTCCACCCCGTTGCTACACACAGTTGCAACAAAACCCGCGTCCTGTGGGAACCATGCAACAGCCACCACGCTCCACTGGTCCTCTATGAGATGAACCCCGACTGTCGACGATTCGGCTGCACTACTGGCAACAGTCTGCGTAGCCCTCCAGATCCACAACACCCTGACTTCTCCCCCGATCCTGAGACACAAGGACCCATTTCGGAGTGGCGTACACAGCCAACAAGTGCTGTGCAGGCACACACCCCTTTGCACAGAAGGGGACAAGCCAGATCCTGGCCCAAGCAGACATTGGCGTCCATCCATTTCTCAGGTTTTAGGACACACACTAGTCTTGATGTCTGTGGTTTGCTTCGGCGCTGTCTTGCCCCCAACGCTGGCCTGGTGGGTTCTGTTGGGCCGGTGGACCCTGAGGGGCCGGTTGGGCTTGTTGCAGGTCCTGTTGGGCCTCGTTCCCATTACCACCATTGTTGGCATTTCCGTTGGCCCCCTCCCGGTCAACCTCCCCCATAACCATCTCTTGTGCAGCCGCAAAGGCTGCCTCATCCTGGGCGTTGATGTTCCACGTTGGCAACAGCGAGGTCACAAACCCCACAAGCAGCATCAGGACCTCCGTCACAAAGCCTCGGGGGCGATTTTGCTGCTGCTGCTGCTGCTGAGTTTGATTCTGCTCTCCCTGGCTGGGGGGATGGCTGTTGGCAGGACCCCTGGTCACGTGAGACAGGAGCATCCGTAGGGGCCCCGCGAGCAAGTACAGGAGCACGAAAATCCCCAACAAAAGGTAAAACCTCCCCTTGGTGCAATAGTTGTAGAGGAAGGTCAGCACAAGCACCAGCTGCAGCAGCCCCCTTATGCTGATCCGGAACATCAAAACCCTCCGCCTTCGGGCACCCCGGTTGGGCATCGGCATGTATGGCTGGAACTGGTTGGCCTGCGGGACCCTGGGCTGCTGCGCTCCGTTGGCCCCAATGCCCACCATCCTGTTCCCGGGCAGCTGGATGTACCGCATGTTGGGCGGGGGCTGCAGCTGCTGTCCCCCGTACAAGGCCTGCTGCAGCGGGGCCCCAGTGGGCGGCACCAACACCGGCACCCCAAGGGGAAAGAAGGCGATGGCCGGAATCAGCGGCGCGCCCGCGGGGAGGGGAGGGCCCAGGGGTGGGGCCCCGGACCCCGTCTGCTGGCCCTGGTAGTTGGGCTTCTGTTCAGCTTGGCCAGGCGCGCCCTGGCCCTGCGCACCGGGTTGGAACGCCCCCAGCATCACGGGAATCTGCGGCAGGACGGGCCTCGCAGCGGGCTGCGCCGAGGACGTCGATGCGGCCTCTGCCTGGGCCGCCTGGGAGCCCGGTGCAGCGGCGGCCCCCTCGGGGCTTGAGCCCGATATGGTGGCCATCGCGGCGTTGTAGGCGGCCGTCACGACGGGGGACATCATCATGCAGGGCAGGGCGACCGTCCCGGACGGCACCAGCGCGATCTGCGGGCCGTGGTGGGGCACCCAGCCCGAGGCGGCCTCGGTAGGCGCGCCAGGGGCCGCCGCGGGATCGGGAGCGGCCTGGGGCGCCGGCCCTCCCGCCTCCCCCGTCGCGTCGCTCCCCGGTGGCTCGCCCCAGGACCCCAGCCACCGAATGGCCCCCGTCCTATCGCCCCTTCCCCCCTGGGCCCTCCGCTGCCTCAACACGCCATCGCCCTGGATCACCAGATGCATGCTGAACGGCCCCGGGCCCTCCGCGCCCTTGAGCACCTCCCCCACAGCCGTACCCGACTCCTTCAAAACCTTGCCAGCGTGGATGAGCACCTGCTCGCTGGGCGCCGGGTGGCCCTCGTAATTCTCGCGGATCATGTCCTTCAGCTCGCCCACTGTGGCCCCCTTGCCCACCACAAGCCGCAGGTCGCCCGCTTTGTTGGGGTTGGGGCTCCGCAGCAGCAGCTCCACCCTCCCTGCATCGCCGGCCGACCCGTCACCGCCACTTTCCTCGGGCGCCTGGCCCGCGTCCGCGGGCGCACCGCCCATCTTCCCTCTCCTCCCCTGGCCCCGATCTACCTGAGACAAAATCCGAGATTTGCCGCACCCCTCTTTGGCTCGTCCTGGTCAGCCACACCCCCTGCTTGTCCCCTGTAGTGGGAAGGTGCCGGAGCACGGCGTCAATCCGGAGAGGGGATGTCCGCGGGCCGCCTCACGGTCCAGCCCCACTGTCTCAGCCCCAGCAAGGCCTCGCAGAGTGCGTGTAGCCGCCCCACTGTCCGGGGTTCGATGGGGAGCTTGGCTCAAGGGGGGTCAGCGGTGGTGCTTGGGGCCGGGACAGGTGTTCCCGGCAGCGGGGCGGGTGCCGTGCTAAGTGCGATGTGGGGGGGATCTGGCTGCGCTGTCGTAATCGGCCCCCAGGAGGGGCAGTTCATTGGAAGGTGGATGCAAAAACTGCGTTGCTGAATGGACGTTGGGCGCAGCAACTGAACGGGCTGTTCGCGTGCTGAAAGACGACCCACATAGGGAGGCCCAAGAGAGGTTTCGATGCGTTGAATTGGTCGCGCGCCCAAACTTCAAATTGATGCTGGGGTCAGCCCCTCCCTGGTCCTGTCGCAACGTGGGGTCGGCAGGTGGAATCACAAAGTGGAATGTGTTGTTCTCGTGGATGCGATCTGGAGCCGTGGGCACCTTGTGTTGCTTGGATTCCACGGCAAAGAGTGGAAGTTTTGGACGAGACATGGATCACAGAACCCTTCAAACAACTGTAGGACAAAGCGATCTTCAAGGCGGGTTGAAAACCGGGATGCCTGAACAGATAGCAGGCCATGAGGGCCACTTTGGACTGTGCCGATTGAGACATTTCGCAAGCCTCCGTTGGATGTTGAACGGTGGAGGCAACTTCATGATCAACCCAAGGGGGGGGGTGTTGGTTTCCTAATGGCTTTTGTCGATTTCGTGGCAATCGCCTTTTTTTATACCATTACAGATTTGCAACCCCACCGCCACCACCACCACCACCGACACATACCCCCTCCCCCCCCCAAAAATCCCCAGGGCTTTTTACGTCAAGCGTGGCAAAATCGGCATGGTGCCACCATTCAAGGAGTGACGATGTTGCCCCTTCAAAACATGTCATGCTTTTTTTGGTCTGTCCCGAAAATGTTGAGCTCATTTTCTGCTTGAAGGAATCCTTCTGCATCCCGACTCGCACAGTTTGAGAATACGTTACACTCCAATCTATGGTGCATCTCCCAATCCCTTCTAAACACAATGCTATTGATCACTTTTCAGTGTTTGCAAAACGCTTTGCGACTTGCATTAAAGCCACTGACTCACTCAGCAGGTTTGCTTGGAAAGCATTACTTTACCTCTTCCGAATATGACCGCACATTTGCTAGTGCAGGGCAAAGGGAGACAGGCGAGGCGAAAGGCGATCGCGGGCTCCCCGGAAGTGGAAAACTGAACCCCGACCTCCATGAATCCATTTGCGAGTCACCTCGATTCAGCTGGAGCCAAATTGAATCCCGAAGGGCAGCAGTTGGGAGCGAAAAACCAACTGCTAAATTCGGTGATGTAAGAAAGCTGCAAAAATATGTACAGTCTCCGACGTCCAACAAATCAACACCACAAGAAGTGAACCATAATTTAGTTCAGCGCAGCGTGCGGTCAACACAGCGCAGGGCTTTGCGCCGTATTCGTTTTGCCTCTGTTGCAGACGGGACTTATGAAACCGCGTGCAGCTTTGTCAAGGACCGAGACAATCCCATGCTGGATCGATGCCAGGGCCCCGACCTGCGCGAATCGGATTCCAGTGGGAAGAGGTACTTGTGCCATCCCCGTCTCACTGGCAGCTCGAGGGTGGGAATGGTGTGGTAAGCGGTGCACTATAATCTATGACGGCAAAACAAGGTACATGCAACATTTGTGGTGTTTCCAACCCCATGGCCACCATTAGTTCTCGAATTTTGTGGCAATAGGGAGTTTCGACAGGCCACACCAGTGGATGGTGCAAGAGCACCAGCAACCCCTCCTTGTTGCTTGCTCAACAGGAGGGTGGTCGTATTTCGCTTGCGTATGGAAGTATATAGCTGGCAGCTGCACAGAATTTGCCGTTGTTTTGACACACACCAAATAGTTGAAACTGATTTGCCAATCCCTGGAGCAGCGGGTAAGAGGGCCCTGCGTTTGGTCAAAACTGGCACCGGCCTGGTGCTGCTGTCGCCCGTCTGATGGGAGGTCGTCGTGTCACGAGAAACGAACAGCGGCCGCTCGTAAGGACGCCTGAAGATTCGCAATTTCGTCATCCATCGAGTCCATGTCTCTTCTCAATTCTCCAGTGTTTATCCGCCCCTCTTGGCGCCACCCCTGGCTCAACCCCCTCAGAGAGGAGGCCGTGCCGCCAATTCCCATCCCACTCTTGCCGTTTGTGGGTCGCAACGGCAACGACACGCCGCACATGTGAGGCTCTAGATCGCTCGTTTTGTATTCGCGAAAGCCATCAGGAGCAGGGCTCACATGGCCC